AGAGAGGAGAGAGAGAGAGAGAGAGAGAGAGAGAGAGAGAGAGAGAGGAGAGAAGAGAGAGAGAGAGAAGAGAGAGAGAGAGAGAGAGAGAGAGAGAGAGAGAGAGAGAGAGAAGAGAGGAGAAATAGAAGGTGAGAGACTTATCCATCATCCCACACACAGCACTGGCCTACCTCTTGTCCCTCAGTGTCCGCCGCCGCCACCGTAACCGTTGTCTGCTCCTCCTCTGTTGCTTTAGGTCTGGGTGGGAGGGCGAACCCCGGCATGGGAATACCACCGCCCTGAGCCTTTAACTTGGCTAGGATCGCAGCCCGTCCAGCACTGCCCGACGAACCGCTCACTGTCATGGAGCGTGATTTGGTCTTCGGATCCGGCGTTGGTTTGGGCCGGACGGGCTTAGGTGAGACGCCCGGTATGCGGCGTTGTGTCAGCGGCGACGCAGACTTCTGCGCCGCGGTCGGCTTCAGACCAGCGCCGCTACCGCTGCCGCTGCTGCTACCGCCGCCTGGGCTTGGTCTGAGATACAAATGCGTATGAACGTGGGCGCACAGACACACACACAAACACACACAGAATTAGAGAATACACACGTTTGATTCACAGTAAAAGGACGACTGGAACAGTGGTAGATAAGACACAGTAGACAGCTCGGTGTATGCAGTGTAAGCGCATGAAATTCTACAAACACATGCACCGGTAAGCTGTCACGTTTCAACAAGACGTACTTTGGTCGCTTAGTAACAACAGGCTTCTTTGCGACCGGTGGTGAATTCTCACTGCTGCTGGACGCTTTCCGCGGCACCTTGGCTTGTGGCTCGCCATTCTTGTCCGCTGACGTTGGCTGGTCCTTCTGCCCGGCCTCTTCCTTGCCACCGTTGGCGGCCTAGAGTGAGAAAGGCATTGAAATTCATGTACCAGTGATGTCGCAAAAGTGATTGAAATGTGTGCGCACGCGTGCGTGTGTGTGGTGTGTGTGTGTGTGTAGTGTGCGAGCGCGCACGCACGTGTATGCGCATGTGGGGGGGGGGGGGGGGGGGGGGAGAATTCGACGCTGCGAGAAGCGTCAAGCAAGATTATGAACAATAATTCTTCATCAGGAGAAAACTCGACTGATACAGTACAGTCGGGCGCAAAGATTGTTGTTGTACATGAAAATATGAATGGTCTAAGCTACGAGGGAGTTCAAAAGGGGGAAAAAAACGTCTTTGGTGTTGGGAGACAGCATAGACTGTCACCACTAAGAACTGAGCCAACAATCACAAGTCCACCATAAGTTAACAAGTACCTCGTGCCCTGTGACTAATAATGATTAATCAGTTCGGCACGGAAAGTATAATTCTGGAAATGGAAATATATGATCATACTTCCTGCCCGAAACGGTCCCACACCACGGCATGCATCATCCACGTCACAAAAACACCGCGCGAAACAGTGCTTCTGGACAAGAGTGTGTGCTTGCCCCATGTTTGATACAATCATGTTTTGTACGAATAATTACTTGCTTTTTTTAGGTTCTCATAACGCCCGCCCCCCCCCCCCCTCCAAATATTTTATTCGACCATTGCCATTGGACAGGATTAGGTAATAAAGGAGGGCTATTTCAATAAAGGAAAATAATTCCCACTTCACATAATCGCATCACATCTGCCCGTTGCCCCACAGCAATTCTGGGTACGCCAGCTATCCACCCCACCCCGCTACACAGATGGGAACACCTGATCAGATCAGCGCACAACGCATTCGCAAATGTCAGAGAATTTTTTCTCTCCAAACGAGCAAGGCAGCCCCACAATGCGACGCGCAGTCAGCAGCGGCGTTTACAAGTGACTGGACAAGATGTCAACGTACCTCATCTGTGTTTTTGCCCTCGCCAGGCTCTAGCTTCCCCTCAGAATCATCCACTGGCTTGGCGTCCTTCTCCTTATCTTCGTCTTCTTTCGCAGGACTGGCTGATTCGTCCATGGGTTCGCCGTTGACAGCTGGACCGGAGTCGCCAGATTTCTCCGCTGTAACGATACTCGCCGACACCGTCGCCTCATCGCCACCTTCATCTGCTTTCTTGCTCTCTTCTATTTCCGCTCGCTCCTTGTTTGCTTTCGCGGCGCGATCGCGTTCGGCCGTGGCTTTCACGCTACCGCTACCTCCCAGCGGACTGGTCGCCATCGTCGTAGACCCGGAGCCGCTACGACGAGCTGCCGTCACAGGCGGACCTCTCTTCGTCTTGGGACTGGTTGGAGGTTTCTGAGCCGTCAGGGGCTTACCAGGAGATTTTGTTGGTGTCGATCCGCTCGCAGCAGCAGTAGTGGCGGCTGGCTTGCTCGTTGTCGGAGGTGCTTTGCTCGTGCGCATCTTCTCGCCCTGGATAGACAAGGCCAACGGCTGCTGTGTTGATTTCGCCGGCGGCCTACCAGCGACCTGCGGTCGTGGTCGAACGCTAGGTCGACCGCCCGACACAGTCGCACTCCGATTCCTGGCGGCCGCTGAGCCACCCTGTTGGTTCATCGCGTCGTGCGCGAGCTTGGATCGGAGTTGAGCGACCGACGACCCTTCTCCAGTTTCATCCGTAGTGCGCGCACGTCTCTTTGATGCGCTACCCGCGCCAGTACTAGTGGAACTGCCGACTGTTGTCGATTCGCCTCCGCTAGTCCCGCTCGATTCTGGGTGCTTCTCTCGCGGCTGGAAGCAGAGCTGGCACTGTTTTGGCTTCCACTGATGCGGGACAAATTTCTTGCATTGCCCCGTCGCCATTGTACCGAGTCTACCTATCTAAGACGCCGACCCTCTTGACCCTGTGACCTACCACTAGTATCGAGTAGCATATACCGACACAGCCACAGCAGTGAGGCAGTGGGCACTACGGATGGTTCTAGAGGGTACAGCGACTAGGCGGACAGCACGACCGCTACACCGGTCACCGGGACCAACAACAGACAGCACGGGCTGTGCTGGGAAGATCGGACCTTCTGCGCTTCAGTTCAGAACTGTTCGCTACAAAGTACAAGGTGTTTTTCGTGCGCCGTCACTCCCACTCTTTTGCACTACAACACGAACTCGCTATATACGACGCATGGCATGAAACTCCAATATTAGCTCTCACCCTAGGCACTACAATACTGTCAATAGCTACATAATAATATTGTTACTGTACACTTTCTAATCTCGTTGCTGAAGCCAGCTCAGCAGCTGCTTTTGCTCAATCGATTGACTACACGACTAGTGCGAACTGGTACTAGTACTTGGAAGACAGCAGCAGGCACTAGTGAAGTCTCTGACTGAAGGCGAAATCTTCTTCGCAAAAATATTGTTTTGCACGCGTAGTGGTCGACCTGCCATGTACCAGTGCAGTACAGCTACCAGTATGACTATGAGCACGCACTCTGACGTGACACCGCTCACACTCACAAGAGCTGCTCTAGTCTGGAGAAGGTGGCGAGCAGAGAAAATCAGCAAGCCTTGCGAAAAAGAAGTGTCAACGGCGCACAACACGCTACCTAGTCGAGTCAGTCTAGTCCGCTGGCCCGCACATGTCTGTTAGTCCGTGAGCCAGATCTCAGAATCGGCTGTTTTAGCATCGACCGTTGCACCCAGAGAGGGACAAATCGTCCTTCGGCACACCGCTTCACGATGGTATCCTGAAGCGATTTCCACTTGTTGGACAGTTCGAAACTGATCCAGGGAGGTCACAGAAGTAGGCAAAGCCCGATTTTGCTAGTGAAGCTTCGATATTTTGCCGCATAATTTTGCTGGCTCATCGTCGATATTTTGCTTTCATTTTGCCAGGCCACTCGATATTTTGCTCCCTTTTTGCTCCAAAATTTGTGTCACACGTGGGAAAACTGACCGAAAGTGGGTCACGTGGTGGCAAAAATGAGATAAAGTGAGTCACGTGTTGGTAAAACTGTGCGAAAATGAGTCACGTGCACCGTAGAAGTGTAAAATCTCCCAATTTACAGAGAACACACCGATATTTTGCTCCATTTTGCCAGCAAATTCCCTTTCAAAATTCTTCGATATTTTGCTAGCAGAATTGCTAGCAAAATCGGGCTATGCCTACACAGAAGACGCCAAACATCCAACTTTGCTCACTGACAGCAGCGGCCATTTTCGCCTTCTTCGCTTGATATTTTTGCGCTTGTTCACGGATTCTCATTTTTTGAAGCCATGAGCAGATACCACGAGTGCACATAGCGCGGAAACCAGTGCACAAAACTAGATTCGAATTTTTTTGCCGCTGAGAATTATGAATCGGGATGCAAACTGCATGCAGCAAAGTCACTACTGTTTGTAGTTACAATGCTATCGTTCAGAACTGACTTCCAAGAATGTCCTAAATATCTCTCGACATATTTGTTCACGACTTCCTAGGCGTAGACTGTAGTGAGTAACCTTCTGGAGCAAATGACGACTGCCCCGAGCATGAACTTCTTTTCATCCTGTTCAAGGTCAAATATTACTCAGTTTGCGTTGAAGAATAACAATTACATTCGTGAATGGCCGAACTGAGAAAACCCTCATGATTTCTCTTGGATTTCGTATCCCAAGTTCCTCTACTTGGCTGGATAAATCGCCTCTTTACTTCATCATACTGGACTGGAACTTGTAGATAATAGCGAGCAATGAATTGGTGAGTGAAGTATATTTCAAAAGTAATAACCACTCGATTACTGAATAGTAGTGAATACGTAGAATACTCCAGTATTATTATTATATGAACACTGAAGCTAATGTGACATTACAGTAGTACAATAGGAAGTACGTCACCACACTGTTGTAAATGCACGCGCTGATCCTATCCAACCTGACGGCCAATGCAAGAGGTTGGAATTGGCTATTGATTTCCTAACACACTCATACAGCACCAAAAGCTATCTGTCATTGCTCATTTTCAACTCAACATAACACAGTTGCAAATCACCAGGTGCACATCTTGGCACATAATGTGTGCTGTCGCAGTCCACCGCAGAACATAGTAATCCACAGATAACTACCGATATAACATGATGTCACATACATACATGCATGCATGCCGCGGCGCACCCACACGCGTGCGCGCACACACACACACACACACACACACACACACACACTTGAAGCAGCTGAATACTCCGACTATGCAGTCTCCCAGGCACGCGCACACACACGAACCAGCTGCCGAATCCAACTATACAGTCTCCCAGGCATGCACGCTCGCACACACACACATGAACCAGCTGCCGAATCCACACAAACACGCGCGCGCGTGCGCACACACACACACACATGAACCAGCTGCCGAATCCAACTATGCAGTCTCCCAGGCACGTGCGCACAAACACGCTTATGCGCACGCGTGTGTGCCCGCACACACACATGAACCAGCTGCCGAATGCGACTATGCAGTCTCCCAGGCACGCGCGTGCATGCGCACACACACACATGAACCAGCTGCCGAATCCGACTATGTCAGTCTGCCATGACTGCGAAACCAGCGAAGACATACAGTGCATTGGCTGCTGCCAGACTGGTCTGCTACAGGTTTGCGACGCTCTTGAGTACACTTGTGGCATGGCAGGCCGCTCTTCGAAAAGGAAATGTTACAAATACTACACTGAATCCGATCACGGGATGCCGGCTGTAGTGGTGAAGCAATTCTGAATGCTGTGCGCCACTCTCCTCGCTGCTGTGCAGTGTCGAACCAATATCCTTCAAGATGTAAGTGATGGATGTCCCTTCGGACAACATCACACCAATGCTGTCGGGTTTCACACACACACACACACACACACACACACACACACACACACGGCGCACACCTTGTCGACAATTGCGGAATCTAAAACCCACCAACGACCTGAAACACGGATCGCACTGGCCGCAGTGGCTGTGGCATCACCGTGCCCCAACACCAGTAGTAGCCTGGGGTGGTGTCACCAACAAAGGAAAACGCCTAGCACGCACATGCACGTGCGCGCGCGCACACATGCACGCTCGCACACACATATGCACGCGCATGCACACGCACGCGCGCACACACACATGCACGCACCCACACACACAAACACGCGCACACATGCACGCGCGCGCACACACACATACACAGCTAATGGTATACAGTAGTATGTTGCCCGCAAAGCAGCCAGGTGCTCTGGCTTGGACCTCCAGCAGCGCTGGTTTCGCCCTCGCTACTTGTCGTCTTGCCCTCTCCAGTACTGCCTGCAACAAAACATTCCCTTCCGGAAACTCTGGGTGGACCAGTTCTCCGTGTTGTGTTTACACCGTGCTCTGCTTTCACCGGTATGGCATTCGTTGTTCGTATCAACCACTAAGCTCCTGGTAGGTGGCCCCTTACTGGCCTTAGGATGTGGCTCTGGGTTCACTACTACATGCACATCACTGTCAGCAAGTATAGACAAAGCAAAATCAGAGGCACTGGTCTTCTCCAGGTTTGCAATTGCTATCACATGGGTGCAATTGGTGTAGCACTTTTCATGATACCAGCCACACCATTTACTCCTCCCTGAGCTCTTGTGCTGGCAGAGAAAAGCCCAGATATGGTCGTCCTTCTCTCGAGCAGCGCTGACGATGCGACACCAACTTGTAGTCTCGATATTACTCACTGCAGGCTTCTCGTTTTTACTAAATTGGGCGCTGTGACACAGACACAAAATTCCAGCAATATTACTCCGCTGGGCTGTCATTTGCCACTTCGTTGCCGTCAGCTGCCTCATCCAGCACCTCGCTGCAACTAGAAACGTCTTCCTCTTCTTCCATTGTTGTCAAAACAACATCAATGTACACGAAAGGAATAAACTTCAATAAAGTGATCACAATATCCCAAGTCGATATTGTCGTCAACGTCGTCATCTTCTAAAAATAAATTATTTTTCCTCACTCTACGCGAACTCGTGTTTTGCGCTTGCTCATACGACGCACACCTCACCACTCGCGTAAAAATATTCGTTCTCACGGTGGAATTTGGTCGAGAAAAGAAGCCCTCGCGAAGGTCTCTGGATCGGTTCTGGAACGTTACGTCCAACAAGCGAAAACGTATCCTTTGTGATGTCCTTGACCAACACTGTAAGCGGCGATTTGTCCATCCGAGAGTGCAACGGCACTTGTGATTTTGAGTTTTGGCTCACGGACTATGTCTACCAGTCCTGGTGATGTCCTAGATAGGACATCACGGAACCCAGCATGCCCCAGCATACATACTATGCTGTTCCCATAGTAATCGTGACACGTGACTCAAAACTTTGTGTCGCGTCCGAGGAAGATGAACATGTCGCACTCAAAACAAACGCAACGAAGGCCTTTCGTCTCAAAAGTAATAACATAATATAAGTTGTCGTTCTCCTGGCGGCTTGCCTCAAGCGAGTCGAGATTCGTATCTTGCCTCTTGCCTTCACGAATTTTATTTTCCTCGTTGTGGAGTACGCCTGGACTAAGGAACTGGCAAGCGAATCTTTTTGGTCACATTGAAAATTGCAAGTGCACAAGAGGATTGGCGAAGCAATTTGTGTTCGCACTTTCAGCAGAGCAGTAGCTGCTGCTGCGATAAAGTTTTTACTTTCGCCATTGGCTTCAGGCAGCAGAAGGATCTGGCTGAAAGCGATGGCGATACGTCCATGACCACCACGTCCTGGGTTGATATCCAAGAAAGACCGTCCAAGGTCAAGTTTTAGCCAAGAGCTGTTGTCTCCAAGAAATCAAAAACGCCAACAGCAAGCTTTGGCCAAATAATATCTTCCAGGCAGTAATTTACGGGCCTAGCGCCTGCTGGCTCGTCTTCCTCCTCTGCATGGCCAGGTTTGGGGCGAAATGAACGCACGGGGTGTGAACATGGTAAAGAAACATTCCAAAGGCAAAATATTCAAAATAATTAGAACCGATCGTTTCCAAAGAAGCGCCGCGTGGCTACGAGAAACCCCACATGAAATCCCCAAACGAAAACGGCCATTCGGTCGGGTATTCGATGGAGAATCGAATATACACTACCTCAATCCCCGCCGATGTCTGATATTCTCCGCCTATTCCCTCAAACTTGAACAATTCGGAAAGAAATCTATCGCCATTACGATCATGCATCCTCCACATACATTCAGAAATGCTCACGCAGCACTTCTTCTCATCGCGTGTGCGCGACCGACGCTTCCATGACAACTCTGGGACAGGTAACCAATCAGACTCATTCAGAGTGCGATGTCCTAGATAGGACATCTCCCCGACTGGTCTACGTCTCTGGGCTGTTGCTCATGCACGCACGACATGATCATGTACATACACCACGTGACCAGTGACCACA